CCAAACTTTTCAATTGAGCGGTCATTCGGAATTTTGAGGGCGACAGCTTTCTTGTCTTTTGATTTTATTTGAAATACACACGGAAATATACTCAGCATAGGGGGAACGTCACCAGGGAGAGAAACAATCAAAATTCACAACAGGAACACGGCCGATGCCAGAACTCCAAACACACCAGTCAACATCTGCACTGCCCCACTCGACTTGGTAGCCACCGGTGGCACCGCCGACACACTTGCAACTCCAGTCGTAGCAGCGGCACCCGTCGTGGGCGCGACTGATCCCACAGCAACAGCAAATGACGGTGAGAAGCATTGCAGCCAGTTAGAAGTGGGTCCAATGTCCTTAAAGCGGGCAGAGACAGTGTATTTGGCGCCTGCTGGGATGGATGGGACTGTGCTGATCAAAAGGCCGTCAGACACCTTGACGGGGTTTGCGGTGACGAGTGCTCCGTTGGTGAGGGCAATCACATTGTTTGGGTTGGCAGCGTTCTGTTGTTTGAATTAAAAAACACGCGTTAAAAGAAGCCAATTTGTGAACGGAGGCGGGGGGCATCCAAAAAAGACTTACAGCGATGCTGAAAGCGAGTGTGACGTTGAGAAACTCTGGGTTTGGGTTGAGAATGTTCCAGACGACTTGCTGATGGATTGGTGGAGAGAGGAGGAGGTTTATAAGCACGCTTCAAAGGCTTGGAAGCAAAGCACACTCACGATCTTGTCTCCAGTTGCGTACGATTGGCCGTTCTGGGGCATGATGATGGAAATGGAGGCACCGGTGGAGGAGGTGCATCCCACTTGGGTGACGACGGAGGTGGCAGCCATGGTTGGAGTTGGTATGAGCAAATATGAGCAAAAAGGTTTGAAATGCCGATTGAGCAGTTTTTTCGATATTCAATTTATATGCGTATTTTCCCGACCCAGTGATTATGGACGCTTGGGACGGAGATGCCCACGCCACTTTTGAGGAGGTTTAAGCAGCTGAGACTGCATTGCTGCTGCTGCTGTGCTGCTGGCTGGTTGAGGCGCAGGGTCTGGGACAGTCACGGTCGTGCATGGCATCTGAGGGAGTCAGTCTCTTTATCTGTTCTGTTCTGTTCAACATGTCTTGTATAATATCTCTAACAGCATCTAGTTTATGTAAAGATGGCATCCAACGAACACAGAAATAGTTCCACAACCAAGGAGTGTGTGAAGAACGGGAAAAAGAAATAAAAACAAGAGAGAACGCAATGGGGCCGAATAACATTAATAATCGCGGGGGAAAAAAAGACGCTCTGCTTAAAGGGCAAACACTCCCGCAATCACAGCTGCTGAGCCGGCAGCGACAATGGATGCAGCTCCAGACTTGGAAGTAGGAGCAGCGGCAGCGGGAGTTTGCGAGACGGTTGCGTTTCCAGCAGAGGTTGGGACGACAGCGGCAGAGTTGGAAATGGCGAAAGTGACACCGAAGCAGTTGACCCACTTGGTGGCGGCAACGTCACGGTAGATGGACTTGAGGGAGTACTTTTCACCGGCTGGGATGGTTTCGGGGATCTTGACCTTGAACTGGCCATCAGTGACTTTTGGGGTTCCAGCGAGGGCTCCGATGCCTCCGGCGAGGTCAGCAATGTTGTTTGGGTTTTTGGCGTCCTGATGTTCGGGTTTGCAGTTGTAGTTGTAGTTTGTAGGTTGAAGGATATACGTTGAAGGAGCAGACACATTGTTAGGGTTTGCACAGCTCATTTAGGCTGATTAAAAATCAAGGACATATTACCACAAGAGCGAACTGGATGGTGGAGGACTTGAAGGCGTCGTCGGTGCCGCAGGCATCCCAAGTGATGACCTAGAGAGCGATGAGCAACAGCAAGGACTTGCATGTAGAAAGTAGAAAGTACCAGGTCCTGGCCAGCCTGGAACGAGGATCCCTGGCTGGGGTTGATGATGGACAGCCATGAGCCGCCGGAGGTCAAGCAAGTAGCGCCGGGGTTGCCGGTGCACTGGGCAGAGGCCGAGGAGACAGCGAGGGTGACAAGGGCGGCAAAGTGGGACAGCTGCATTGTTGTTTGGTTGCTGGTTGTTGTTGTTGGGTTTGTTGGGTTTGTTGGATATTGGAAAAAGAACCGAGCCGCTGATGGAATTTTTCCCTTTTTAAGGCAAAGACTGTTTGATTAAAAAGCTGTCGTTCGATCCCTTTTTTTTTTTTTTTTTTTTTGGTGTCTGTCTTGCTTATTTGGGTGAACGTAAAGCCACTTTTGAGTGTCTGTTTTGTTTTGTTTTTATCTGCTCTCGTGTTTTATTTTTCTTCTTCCGTTTATCTTCATCTATTTATCTTCATCTATTTATCTTCATCTATTTATCTGCTTCTATTTATCTTCCATTTCCTTCTTCCTTTGTCAAAATGAGAATATTCATGGCGCACGCATCTATTTTCTTTACTTTTAGACACTCCACAAAACTATCGAACAAAAAGAAAACAAAAAGGAACAAAAAACGTGCGAAATGAACAAGAATATTCACACACATCGCGCATTGTGAAGAAGAAGAAAAAGAAAAAAAGTGAAAACAAAGACAACGCTCTAATGTTTTGTGCCCTTATCCCCGACATTTTGTCATTCCTTTTTTTTTTAGAATGCAAAGAGAGCGGCAACTGCAACAAACGCAGATCCAACCATAACCTCAGCACCAGACTTGGAAGTGGTAGCAGGCGCAGCAGTAGGCACAACAGACGCAACAGCAGAGCTGCTCACGACGGCATTGAGTCCAGTGACGGTGAACTGTGGGGAGAAGCAGTATCTCCAGTTGCCATTGTCACGGTAGGTGGAGCGGACTGCGTAAGACTTGACAATCTTGGTGGTGGGTGGGATCGTGGTGGAAACAAGGCCTTCGGCAACGTTTACGTTTTCGACAAGAGTTGCGAGGGCAACAACGTTGTTTGGGTTTGAGGCATCCTGGTTAAGTCCGCTTGCTTAACAAAAAATAGATAAACATGAAAAGTGATCAATGAACACTCACGAGCAATTCAAATCCGATGCTGGCAGTGTTGAAAGTCTCATCGCTTTTGCTTCTGATGTCCCATGTGATGGTCTGAAGAGGAACATGTGATTTGAGTCAACAGTCCGCCATATAATTGAGCACAGAAAAAAAAAGAGCAGCACTCACAAAGTTCTTTCCGGCAGCAAGGGGCATGTTGGCCAGGGGCTGGATGATGGAGATGACACCACCCTTTGCGGTGGTGCAGGTGTCTCCACCAGAGGTTGGTGGTGGTGCAGCAGCAGAGGTAGGGGCGGCGGAGGCGGAAGCAGAGGAGGATGGGGCGACGGAGGCGGCGGAGGTGTCTGAGGACTGGGCCATGGCGGCAACGGCGGACAGGAGGAGGGCGGCAACGACTTGCATGTTTGGTTTGTTTGAGTGTGTGTTTGTTTTTGGGAGTATTTATTTACTTCTGAGAGCGAGAGCGAGAGTGAGCACGGCACAATTTCGCAATTTTTGCAATTTTTACGCGAGGCTTTGATTAAAAACTGGGACCCAATTTGTGCCATTTATTTTTATTTATCGCTTTTGTTTATTTATTTACTTTGTTTACTTTATTTATTTTACTTTATTTACTAGATGGAGAGACTGTCGAATTGTCAAACGACGGAATCGCAGAAGCTGCGCAAACAACTGTCACGCTCTGTTGTGCTTGCCAAATGTGAATTTATTTGCTGCTACTTATACGAATGAAGGATAAATAAATATCGACATTGAGACCATCATCCTTTCAATTTTAAAGCAAGAATGCAGCAATGAAAGACGCGAAAGTAAATGCAGAAACAGATTGAGACGCGCTCTTTGCAATGTCAGATGGCGACTTATTTTCAGTCGTCACAGTCGCCGCCGTTGCAGGAGCAGCAGAACTACCGGCACTCGTGGCTTTCACATCACTCACGGACGAGGACCCATCTGAGCAGCGGATTTCAAACACGGTAGAGTACCAGTCCACGTACTTGGTAGTATCCTTGTAAGACACTTTGATGGCATAGTTTTTGCCAGAAGGAAGCTTTGGAATCGTGACTTCTGCCTTCAAGTTCTTGATGGCGACTTCTCCAGGGAAGCTTCCGCCTTTGACAACCTTTGCGTCCTTGTAGTTGCTGGCATCGATCAAGTAAATTGAAATCGTTTCATCAAAGAACTTGTCGTTTCCCGCGTTGATCGCGCTCCAAGTAATTTTCTGAATTTTTTTTTTGTCAGCTGTGCCGGGAAACAAACAACACAAACCAAGGATTCTCCGCAATCGTGAACAGTGCCCTAAAGTGGGTTAATGATGGTCAAGTAGCTGTTTTTGCTTGATTTGGGCACTTCAAAGTCTGCATTGGACGGTTTCAAAGACGCGCTTGTGCTCGATGACTTTGTGGGAGAAGCTTCATTTTTGGTCGTGACGGCGGACGCAGTAGTAGTTGTGTTGCTACTTTTGGGCACGTCGGCGTTTGGGCTGGGGCTGGGAATGGTTGCATTGTCGGCGCGTCTGTCAAGGGCTTCGGCGTTGGCAACGATTGCAAATGTAGAAACGGCCGCGATGAAAGTTAGTCTCATGTGGTGGGAGTGGGGGCGTGTCTGGGTTTTTTGGAGCGTTTTTTTGTTTCTTTGATGAGTTTGCGTGGATTCTCTCCAGTCAAAAAAGAACATGCAAGCTTCTGGAAGCAGAAAAAGATGATAATCTTCACCCACACTTTTTCTTGACACGTTTCCTGCAAAACGCATTTTTGTCTAAAAATGTTGAAGGTCTGCAGATCGCCAAAAAAAAAGAAAAGTGCGCTGGCGTCAAATAAACGGGTTTGGTCCGCCCCACCGGTTCTTCTTCTCTGTTCAGGTAACTAGAATTTCAACTCTTGGTTGGAATGTGAAGAAATATAACCTTCAAGTTGGAAAAATTTTCTTGCGCTGATCGCGCGGGGAAGCCAGTTCATTAATGTCATCTATCCAATGCCTATTCTGTGTCAAACCATTTGCTGTATGAATTGTCTTTGAAATAAAATTGACATCGGCCCAATGGTCTAGTAGTATGATTCTTCTTTAGGGTAGAAGAGGTCCCGGGTTCAATTCCCGGTTGGGCCCATTTTGATGTCTCTGACTGCTGCTTTGTTTTTTGACTTGTCTCTGCGCTGATGCTGGGCCGATGCAGAGATTTCTCCTTTCACTTTGACCACAACAACGACTGTTGCTGTTTTGAATCCACGCATATTGTTTACTCGGTCGAGTTAATAATTTCCTGTTCTCACGTTTGAACATTGGATTTCGATCTGACATTACAACATTGCGCGCTATTGTGATAGTATTCAATGTTGACAGCTGTCCCCTGCGTGTGAGGGCAGGAGTGAGTATCATTCAATTCGCAGCATTGAAGCCATTCGATCAAACAGGTAGGCCGATTCATAAGGGATGCTCCATTTTGAGTCAGCAACTTTTATTTCATTCATCAAACGCAACGGTGCTATAGCTCTGCCAAATCCTTTTCCCACTCATCCTCTTTTGCTTTTCAGTTCAGCTGCGACTACTTTAACCACTGGGCAGTTTCTCAGAGCATGTTTGCTTTGGGGGCATAGTTTACAGCGATTAGCCTTGCCTTTTGCAACTTTGGTTGGTAGCTTCTTCTTAAACGATTCCTGCTTCTTGATAACGCGGCAGCTGTCTGTGTCATGCTTGCAGCGGCCATGGTGCTCGCATGTCTTCATCTTCCCAGCGGACGCGAGGGCAGAAGAATAAGCAAGGTTTTGGAGCATTTGCAGTTTGCAGCGCTCAAGGGCGTCCATAAAATTTTGAAGGGCTCGAGAATTATGATCCGGTCCTTCTATCATCAGGCCGAGTGGAGCTGGAATAGGTGCTTGAACCAGCGGCGGCACAAAACTTTTTGAGTATTCGACTCGGACCGTGTGAGTAAACAAAGTAAATTCCACCCGCTCGATTGGGTTGCTATTGATCTTGGCAAGCGACATGGGCAGCAGCATGTCATCATTGGGGAAAACAGTGTCGCGTTCATCCACCAACTCGGCCATGGTTTTGATAAAGTCTTGTATCTCGGAGGGATCCGCGTCAGGCGAGAGTGCAAGCATACTCCATCGCCTGTGCCAGTGAAGATTCAGCCTATCTTTGGTCCTGTTGTGAAACATGTCTCGCAGCTTGACTACCTTTGCCGATGCCAGTTCCACTTGATCCACACGATCAAGATCCGACGCCGCGAAACAGGCAGTGAGGATAGAAGCGGCATGCTCGTTCTCTGCAATCTTGGCGCTGCGACGTGCCACGGATCGGTCGTAGAATTCCCGCTCGCTGACGTTGTTCTGGCACTCAAGCTTGTGCATGTCCAGTCTGGCCATCCAGGCGCACGTTTCAGCAGCAGATCCATCCTGCGGATACGGCCCAGGATGAGGGTGGTTGTTGGCTGGTATCGGAACTGGCTGCGCCGGTTCAATCACCCAGTCTTTATTCAAAACAGCAGCAACACCACATGATGCAGCGTACCGGAGTACATGGCGCATATGCATGTCGAAATCATATCTTGTCGCACCAGTGAAGCACTTTGGCGGACGAAGAATGGTGGAGAAGTCAGACATCTGTGAGAGATGTGTTTCACCAGAGTTGCGTGTGTGTGTTTGTGTGGAAGTACCGGGATACTTCTAAGAGGGTGAGTGTTGGGCTGGCGTGGTGCTTGCTTATTCACTCTGTTGTTTTTTAAGGACTTTTTTTCTGTCGCATCAGGAACATGTTTTCAGGGTTTGCCCTTCATCTCCCATTTTCAAGGGTGGTTTTTCAAGGGGAGTTTTCAAGGGGGGTTTTCAAGGGAGGACTGACTCAGATTCAGCCGCGCTCAGATATTCAACCTCTACAGTGCCCTGTGCTCCGCATGCGGTGAGGGGTGACCAAGAATCTCAGGGATTCCTCATTGGTGCGTTTGTAGGTTAGATCGATGCGCCAAAGTGTTGGTCGATCATAGACTCACGAACCGTAGATAATTTATTTTACTGAATATACCGCCACATCCTTCCTTCTGCACTCGCTTCACTTGGACGGCAGAGTCCCACCCAGCGCAACCAGTCGCTCACCGGCACGCGTGTGGCCGTTCAAGGCAGCATCCTTGTAGTACTCTTTCGCCTTCTCCAAATCAAGGTCCACGCCGTTCGCATTTTCAAACATGTCTCCAAGATTGTTCTGAGCAGTCGCACTTCCACCTTTTGCAGCCTTTCTGTACCAGTACAGACTCTTTTCAATGTTCTTTTCCACACCAGCACCTTCAAAGTACATGATGCCCAAATTTGTTTGGGCCATTGCATGTCCTGTGGTGTTGATACGATGAAAGGGTCATGTCAGCTGAGATACCGTTGAAGTAATGAACATGCAGCGTACCTTGATTCCCGGCACGCTCAAACCAACGCGCTGCAATAGATTCATCCTCTGGCACTCCCTTGCCTAAAACATACCGCATACCCACTTCATACTCCGCCCCAGGGAATCCCTGGTCGGCTGCAGCGCGGTACAACTGAACGGCTTTAGACTCGTTTTTAGGGACTCCCCAACCGTTTGTGCAGCACAGCGCAAAATTGAATTGCGCTTTCGCAAGGCCTTGATTGGCAGCAAGTCGGTAGTATTCAGCGGCAGCTTCTTCGTTCCTTCTGTACGTGGCCAAGCCGCCTGTGATTTGTTGATTCGTCAGTAGTGTCGTTGTTGTGATCAAAATTGGGAAAAGAAAGCGCCCAGCCAGACTCAACTCATATGCATGGCTCCCAACTCGCATTGGCATTCTGGGTTCCCTGCGGCAGCTCCTTCCATGTATTCGTCCATTGCTTGGGCGTACTGCTTTTTCTGAAAGTGTCTCCAGCCATTGACAAACTTGAACTGGGGTGATCCAGGCACGGGTTTCAGCTGCGCCTGCTGCTCCAGGTACAGCTCGTACTGGGTCTTTGCTTCATCGTTGCGCTCTCTCTCGTGCGTATCGCACCACTCTGTGGGATCAATCAAAAATCAAATCACATGTCAAGAATGCTGTGTAAAACAGTTCAGTACCTTTGTAAACGAGATAAGCTCTCTCGATGAAAGTGTCGTCGTCATCGCTGTCGTCGTTGTCGTTCTTGCGCACGGACGCGACAGCGGCGTTGTGAGCTTCGAGTTCAAGTTGGGCTGGTGTCTTTTGGGCTGTGTGTGCAGTGTCCGCATGAATACAAAAGAGAAGAGAAGACGGATAGAAAAGAGAAGAAGATGGTTAAGAGAGAGTGCTGAGGAAAGAGTGTGTCTGAGCGGCGCTCTCACCAAGTCCAAGCATTCCGCCGACACTGGAAATGGCGTCGCTGCCCATCTGCTGCACATATGATACGGCGCCAAACAGGCCCCCTTGGGTCGGTGCGCTCTTGTCGTCGCTCATGTTGGTTGGAGTGTTTTAAATTGAATCAAGTGCTAGATTTCTTGCCTTGGCTCGGACAACCTGACTGTGCCCAACTTGCTTTGGCCGACGAATCACGCATAACTGCTGACATGCGCGCCTGATGTGATCAAACCGTCAAGTTTTCATCGTGCACAGCGCGTAAGGGACATGTTAGATGTGCATCAAGCAAATGACATGTCAGGTATACATTACGCAACAACTAAAGAGTTCTTGTTGAGAGGCGAACTCAGCACGTGACCTCAACTGGAACAAAGATCCGAGAATAAAAGAAAAGCTTTTATATCAGAATCATTCATAGTGTGCACTTCACTGTCGCCAGCTCTAGCCCTCAAACCGACTTCCCTTTATTGCCCGAAGTCTCCTTCCAACAGTTCTTGGGAGCGGAGCAGAGACCCAACCGCGAGAATGACTTCAATTTGGGCGAGACCTGGTTTCGGACACACTTTTCCACACTCTGAGCTGTGGCTCAGTCACTGCGGACTTGCAAACCGTCGCTTATATAGCAGCAAACCCAACATCCCAGCAAACCCAACATCCCAGCAAACCCAACATCCCAGCACAAACGCACACATACCCTTATCCAACCTACAACAAAAACATGACCAAGAAATCAAAACCAATGCGCGACCAAACCCGTACCGCATGCACCAACCACATCCAGCACTTCACCGATAACACCACCACCACCACTGCCTCCGCTCCAGCATACACTCAACTGCTGCTTGGAGACTCGCACACAGAACGGTTGGAGTGGAAGTTTCCTCTTCTTGCACTCAAACAGACGCTGCTGTGCGGCTGTGGCGGTGACAGGATCTCGCAACTGGCCTGGCGCATCAGCAACACGGAAAATCTGGGGTACACCCAAAACGACGCCATGAAGTCTGCAAGTTTCGAACGTATTGGCATCTTGATTGGAACCAACAATATCTCGGAAATAAGTTTATCTGAGAAACAGATTAAGGCAATGGTGGATCAAGTGTCTTCCATGGTGCAGTTGGTGAAGGAAACGTGGCCAGGCGCGCTTGTCACTGTGTTTCCGCTTCCTCCGATTCCAACGCGTGGCAGAAGCAGGCGGGATCAAGCCACAGTAGACGCCTATAATCAGGCTCTGAGAGACAAAGGGTTACTTCAAGATTATATCCATTGGCCCGAGATGGATTTGGAGCTGGACTTTGAGGATGATGTGCATTTGAGCGAAGCTGGGTACTTGAAATGGCGGGAAATGGTACAGACAGCTGGCTTCGAATAATTTTAGCGCGTTCGAAAATAAACTCGCATCCGTCCTGCTAGTGCGTGTCAAAAAGAATCAAGTTGATGACACTGTTTACTATAACAAATTCACAGTTGCAGCAACATATTTAACGACGTCCTCCACGGCCTCTGCCACCGCGGCCTCTCATTGGAGCTGCCCCCTGCCCTTGCCCAGGAGCTTCGCTTTGAACATTCTTGACTGTCTCGTCGACAGACAGGATCAGGCATGCAGCTTCGCTTGCAGCTGCAATCGCGTTAGTCTTGACAAGAGCGGGCTCCCATACAAATTGCTCAAAGTTGTCGGCGATTGATTCAGAGTTAATGTCGACTCCGTACCATTGGCATCCCGCTGAGAAGAAATCCACAGTTAGTTTTTCTCATTTGAGTTTTCATACAACCATGAAGTCTCACGCTGAGTGTGTTTCTGACG